GATAGTTCTCTGAAAAAAATACCATACCATTTTAAAAAGAAAAATAACATATTGTCTCACAGACACACACTCATAATAATCCCAACATATTACTTAGAATACACCAGTGTTAAAAGTTTGAAGCCAATCAGAAGAGGCTTTCTTGTGTTACTGCAAAGACACCAAAATTAATAATGGCTTTATATAACTGACAAAAGGGCAACTTGCCCATCCTGGTAGTGCTATAGTTTAATAGTGTTGAAAATTTGTAGCTGATCAGATCAGGCATTCTATAGTTATAAACGAAAAACTTAAAAGGACAGCCCCTGAGAATATGACCGGCTCTGTCATAAAGCAGTATGAAAACATAATATTGTGAAACTTAAAAATGCCATTAAAATGTGAGTTCTGAATACTTCTCAGTTTTCTTAGTTTTATTTTATCTCAAATTCTCTACGAGATGTAAGATTTTTTTTTTATTTTAAGAAACCGGACTTTGCATACTTGCTATGAGTTACCAGACAAGGACAGCTACATGGTTAAAGTAAAATTTCGATACTTATTATAACCTACACAGTCCAGTAATAATCCCAACCATTTCCTAGATAGTTTAAACCAGTGTTGAAAGTTTGAAGCCGATCTGAAAGGTATTTCCCAAGTTTTAAGAGGAAACTCAACTGAAAATTATCTATATAAAATTGACCAGAAGATACTCTCACATGACAATAGTCATGTCAAACTTTTCATAGTTTCAGTATACAAACGTTGAAAGTTTAAAGCCGATCGGAAGACGCGTTCGAAACTGTTTTTATTAACCACTTTAGAGGTATATACCACTTCGGGGATACCCAGTTGTAAACATCAAACATTTTCAAACTAAACATTAACAGAGTAAAGATGCAGTGTCTTCTGTGCCACTTGAGATAAACAAACTACTGTTAACCTCACTGTTCTTTTTGTCTTTCATATTTCTCTGTCTTCTTTGTCTTCCATCTCCTTAATTTGCATCCCCTTATCTATTTTTTTTATTTCTCCGCTTTAGTTTCCTTCATCTCCCCTCTTTTTTACTCTGATTTCCAGCATTCCTTTTCTTCCTCTTTCCACGTTTTCCATTTTTCATTGTACTTTTGCCCCGTATATCTTCCTCCTCTCCATCTCTTTCATCTAATGACCTTATTTCAATTCATGTTTCTTCCTATTACCATCTTACTCTTCCCTTCTCCTGCCACACTTTATCCCTATATATAATCTCTAAATCCACCCTTGTTTATGTCATGATTATTCTCCCCTTATACATTATCCACCTTTCTCCCACCTTCACCAATTCTCTCCCCTCACCTCTTCTCCTCCTTCCCCTCACATCTGCCTCCCCTCACCCCTCAACCAGTACCAGGTCTGGACATAGTTGTTGTGGGGGGCGCCTGTCTGTCTGGTTTTTGCTCTCATTCTCAAGAGGAGCTGGTGGAGAGGAGAGGTGAGGAGAATATGTGGAGCACCAGGCAGTGACAGAGCAGAGGGAGAGGGAGAGGATAGGGAGTAAAGTGAGTGGTGGGGGACAGAGGTGCGAGAGTAAAGGAAGAGCGGCTTGCAGAGGTTAGCAAGAAAAGAGGTAAAAGAATGGAAGAAAGAAGAGAGGTGAGAGAGAGAGAGAGAAGGGAGGAAGAATGGAAGTGAAAGGTGGAAGGAAGAGAAGCGAGAGAAGTGGGGAAGGAGAGAGGTGAGAAAGAGAGGAAGAAGGTAGAATGAATCATATGTTTATACTGGTGGAAGACTAGCGCACATACTGAGACAGCTTTGTGTGTGTGTGTGTGTGTGTGTGTGTGTGTGTGTGTGTGTGTGTGTGTGTGTGTGTGTGTGTGTGTGTGTGTGTGTGTGTGTGTGTGTTATCGCCTAGCTGTAACCACAAGAGCAGAGTTAGCTCACGGTGTTCCGTCTTCAGTAATTTGTTCATCATACAATGTTATTGTAAATTCCAGTGGTTGTAACACTTCCTCTCACTCTGTGAGGTTAAATTGTCTTGTGTCTCTTCGGTTCCACTCTTTATTTATATATTTCAGTGGCACTTTTTTTTAATCGTAGTTCCCTTTCGCTGTCTGATACCTTTAATACTTTCTCACACATTCTACATTTTTCACGTGGCCTGATTTTACTTTCTTCCATTTCCATTGCATATAATTTATCTATATTAAATTCTATCATCTATCACTCCATTTATTCAGTTTCTCCAAGTCATCCTCTACTGAATACAGTTATTTTATTCACGTTTGCATCGTCTGCAAACATATTCATACAGTTCTCTGTTACTTCTAGTAAATCATTTATACAAATTAAAACCATTATCGGAGCAAGTACAGATCCTTGTGGCACCCCTCTGGAGACATATTTCCACGAAAACACTTTTCCTCTTCTAGCTGTTTACGTTTTGCTCTTAAACATTTGGTTCCTCGAGCATTGCAATACTCTGCCTTTTATTCTTCCTATACTTTGTAGTTTACAAATTAGCTTTTCATAAGAAACACTATCAAAAAAGGTTTAGTAAAGCCTAGATGAATACACTCTGGCCATTCATGTTCTTATACACTTGACGTGACTCATAGTAATCACTTCACAAATTTGATAGGCATGAATATGTAGACTGGAAACCAGACTGTTTATTATTAATTTTTTACTCTCCATGTACATTACATACTTTCTTCTAATAACTGTTTCCAATATTTTTACAATTTATTAGCGGTACTGATATAATGTGTGTCACCGTCTGTCTGTCTGCCAGTGTATCTTCTTACTTCGTTTTTATTTCCTAAGTCATAATTTAGAGTATACATTTTCAGTAGAACATACTCTTTCCTAGAAAATTTGATAGTTTGTATTGAAAAGTTCTTCCTGTGTTGTAATAAACACTAACTTTAATACTTTGTTACCTTCTCTTACTCATCTCTCTTCAGTCATATGCTGCTGCTTAAAAAAGTCATTATATTTAAAAAGTCTACTGACCATTTATTTGCTGCCCAATTTATTTCTTTATAGTGAAACTTTTCAATTAACTTTTTTCCCTTTTCACGTTGACCTTTCATCAATAGTTCACTTAGTATATTTTATAATCTCTCATTTATCTTACCAGACTCTTTTTCTATCCCAATAGATCGACACCATGCCTAACCGTTCTAGGGTAGGGTAGGTGCCTGAGCCCGAGCCTTTAGCTCATAAGACTGTCATTCCCATTAGTCCCCTTGTGGCGGGGATGGCAGACCAGAGAGGCCTAGCTTGTGGCTAGGCCTGGGGACAGTTGGTCCCAAATATGAGGAGGTACTTGTGCCTCCTCCCATGGGAGACTTAGGTCTCAGACACTCCCTAAAGAGGGAGCCAAGGCCGGGCCACCACTTGGACAAGGCCCGGGCCGGGAGAATACCGGCGAATCTTTAACTAACTAACTATCCCAATAATTACTATGGGTTGTATACATTAACTCTTATGAGTTACTCATCCTTGAATGAATTTCACTAAAATTTCAACATTTTGTGTGTTCTGGGCCTCTATTTTCTAAACTTGTACTGTTTCTTTTATCAACATTGCTCGTTATATTTTCTCTGCTCTGTCCATGTCTGCATAAATAACTCATTACAAATATAACCAAATATAACTATGTAAATAGTTCATTACCACTGTAACTTGTTCAGTTATAAAAACTCTGTGGTCCAGCCCCTGGACCCATTATGTACCTCTGTAATCTTTTGACTACCCTCCCCAGGATGGTTATGAGGTGCATAGAATTTTCCGTATAATACAACCTGATTAAACCCAATTTAGCTTCAGTTAGAGAGTATGTATGAAGCTTCTAGTTTATAATGTTGCTTAGTTCTAGTTTTTAAAATTATTCTGGCTATATTACTAGCCAGATCTATTTTGTGTAAGTTTCTTTGAGGAATCATTTGATAGGTTGGTACGTCCCTCTTGCTCTAAATATTTCTATTCTTCATTTCTGTCTTCGTTAAAATGCACCTAAGTTCCTCCGTCTTCTAATATCATATTAATTTTCTCACTATAATTTAAAATGTCCATAATTACTATCGCATTTGCTTTGTCTGTTTCGTAAGGTGAAGTCCAGGATCTTTACTTAATTCCTGGTATAAGTAGAGATCCAAGATTTCACCTAACGAAACAGACAAAGCAAATACGATAGTAATTATGGACAAGGTAGATTAAAGTGGAAAAATGAACATGTTATAAGAAGACGGAGGAACTTACGTAGCTCTTAGCAGTGTTTATACCGTCCGTCAGTTTCACCCCAATTCTCCTTTATAAGGTGGTGTTTAATTTATATATCTTTATAACCTTCCAATTTACGTCCTTACCTCTCTTTAGATCTTTATTCTTTATCGTCGTAAATGTTATTCTTATCGTCCTGTTCTTTCTTTCTCATACATTCTTCTCGCCTTTATCCCACTACATGTTCCTAAATGCTAAAATTTACTCGTAATTTTTTCATCTTATTTATGTTCTCTTGTTTTTTTCTTTTCTTGGTTATATTTCCTGCTCATACTCAGCACAAAACATCAACTGTTTTCTCTCGGTCAAGGATCCCTCAATACATCACAATTGTTTGTACTTTTTTGTTGTAGCAGTATTATTATTATTATTATTAAGTCAAGTGCTAAACCCAAAAGTCAAACCTTGGTATTATAGCAGTAATCTTGTCAGTTGTTTTCACATGCTGTTTTGTCTGTCATTTAGTGATTTTTAACCTAATAAAGACATGCTTCCTTAAGTCTGTGATGATTGTGTGTGTGTGTGTGTGTGTGTGTGTGTGTGTGTGTGTGTGTGTGTGTGTGTGTGTGTGTACTACATAGAAAAAAAATGTGAATATAATAAAGTACTCAGTTAATATTGAGAAACAAAGAGACAGGTGATAATACTCTCTACACCCGAGGCAGCAGTCTGTACACAGCAGGAATGCCTTGTTGTCCCTTATGAAAACAACGATACTGAAGTGACTAATGTTTGTGATGTGTTGTATGTTGCAGGCGTGGTGATGGTAGCCGTGGGCGTGGAGAGTGTAGCAGCGTGGGCTGCGGGCGTGGCTATAACACTGGCTCTGGCCATTGTCTTCCTCGTCTCCAGCATCCTCAACACTGTCTTCCTCATTATCTTCTTCAGGAGACCAGCTCTCCGCAGTATCTCAAACAGGTAGGTCCTCCTCTACAAGCATCGCTTGTGAAGGAAAAATACGAGTTGCAGGACAACCTTTTATATGGACAGTGCTTTTCACCTGATAAAATTCTACACAAAGCGAAACGTTGTCTCAATATAAGCTTCTGCAACATTTATCTTTCCTTCACTATCATCGGCAGTACAATATTTGCAAGTTAGTGTATAGCTTCACAGCTACACTCTGTTGTATGTTTTTGAATTGTTTACACAAAATATTTTATTTAGTGTGAGCAGAGTAACATTTATGAAGGGATTCAGGGAAACTGGTTAGCCGGACTTGAGTCCTGGAGGTGGGACGTACAATACCTGCACTATAAAGGAGAGGTAGGAAATATGTTGCAGTTTTTGAACTGTAGTATCGGTATGCCGATGATAGAAGCTATAGATGTTGATGGTACAAGATGATGATGGTAGAAGCCGTAGACGTTGATGTACGCTGTAGATATTATTGACAGAAGTTACTGTTCGTCTTCAGGATGTCTTCCCTGCTTCTCCTTGTCTTGAAGACAAACTCTTACAATCTTTCATCCCAGTCTCATTGATTCTCATCCTCAGTTTCTGTCTGTCTGTCTCTCTGTCTCTGTCTCTCTCTCTCTCTCTCTCTCTCTCTCTCTCTCTCTCTCTCTCTCTCTCTCTCTCTCTCTCTCTCTCTCTCTCTCTCTCTTCTCTACAGATAGGTATACGAGTTAACTAACCAACCAGTAAGCCACTTAATAAAGTGGCTTACTGGCTGGCTAGTTGGCTTATTGATTGGCTAGTTGGCTTATTGGCTGGTAAGTTGGTTGACTGGCAGGTTTGTTGGCTGGCTGAGAGACCGCTAGATAAACACCTCCCTCGGTAGATCGTAGGCACCCTGCCAAAACGGAGTACCTCTCTCTCTACTCTTACCTGTTTTGTTTTTTACCTCTCCCGGCACTACCCTCTCGTCCTCACACTCCTCCAGGAGCCAGGACTCGACCCCCGCAACCACATCTCGGTAGCTGATGTACACATTCACACACGACAAAGGCATGTCTCCTGCGGTGACATCAATGAAGCATAGCACATGATCTCTCTCTCTCTCTCTCTCTCTCTCTCTCGTGGACGAGGTGCTCGAACCACCGCGGTCCGTCGGACTACCAATTTACAGATCGCGGTTCGAGACCCTCGACCACCCTTCTGTTTATTCATATATATTATATATATATATATATATATATATATATATATATTATATATATATATAAGTTTTGTGTGTGTGTGTTGTGTGTGTGTGTGTGTGTGTGTGTGTGTGTGTGTGTGTGTGTGTGTGTGTGTGTGTGTGTGTGTGTGTGTGTGTGTGTGTGTATGTGTGTGTGTGTTGTGTTGTGACGAATAGGTAAAACTTGCGATTTTGGCAACGCTCTTCTTGCCGAATAAGGCAAGGGAAAATTTGTGTATGCAATATTTAAAAAAATAAATAATTCTGAACCCAACGAAAAAAATATATTTCATTGTGTTTGTTTATTATTAATTAAATGTAAACTTATGTAAAATATAAGTTTAGGTAAGTTTTCTAAGGTAGTTTTGGAACAGAATTATTAATTTTTACAATAAAGATTTTTTTTTCATTTCTGTTAAACGTATAAGAGAAAATTTTAGAAAAGATTTAATTTTAAATGAGTTCTTGCTAATTGATCAATTTTATCTATTTGGCACGACATTATATATATATATATATATATATATATATATATATATATATATATATATATATATATATATATATATATATATGTCGTGCCGAATAGACAGAACTTGCGATCTTGGCTTAAATAGCAACGCTCATCTTGGCATATAGGACAAGTGAAAATTTGTGTATGCAATAATTTCGCCAAAATAATTCTGAACCTAACGAAAAAAAATATATTTCACTGTTTGTTTAGTATTAAATTAATGTAAACAAATCTAAAATATATTTAGTTGGGTTAGGCTAAAATAAATTGAGCTTGTTATAATAAGGTTAGGTAAGTTTTCTAAGTTCCTTTTGGTGCGAAATTATAAATTTTTACATCAACATTTATGAAAAAAGTATATCTTTAAACGTGAAAGAGAAAATTATAGAAAGGACTTAATTTTAAATGAGTTCTTGCTAATTGACCAGTTTTACATATTCGGCACGACATATATATATATATATATATATATATATATATATATATATATATATATATATATATATATATATATATATATATATATAATTAATTAATTAATTAAGATTGCTGGTTTTTCTTTTCTGTCTCATAAACATGCAAGATTTCAGGTACGTCTTGCTACTTCTACTTACACTTAGGTCACACTACACATACATGTGCAAGCACATATATATTATATATATATATATATATATATATATATATATATATATATATATATAACACACTTCTGGGTTTTCTTCTTTCTTATTAGTTCTTGTTCTTGTTTATTTCCTCTTGTCTCCATGGGGAAGTGGAACAGAATTCTTCCTTCGTAAGTCATGCATGTTGTAAGAGGCGACTAAAATGCCAGGAGCAAGGAGCTAGTAACCCCTTTTCCTGTATAAATTACTAAATTTAAAAAGAGAAACTTCCATGGGAGGGGGCACATTGCTTTGCCGGGATACGGCCAGTTTGTTGTTGCTTGTCTTGCATTGCATTATTAAGATCGTCTGTCTGCGATTGTTTTGCATATAATATATATATATATATATATATATATATATATATATATATATATATATTATATATATATATATATATATATATATATATATATATATATATATACGTATATATATATATATATATATATATATATATATATATATATATATATATATATATATATATATATATATATATATATATATATATATATAATGTGTGTGTGTGTGTATCAGCAACTGTATGGTTGCATGGGAGGCAGTCTTTCTCCCTCCTTATACTAAGGTGAGAGAACAAAGAGTCAAACATTGTTTTGATATTTTGATTGCATTAATGGACTATCATTTCCACCTCATCCTCCTCCTTGCTTCTCCGTTTCCTCTTCCTATACTTCCTCCTCTGCTTCTTGCTTTTTCTCTCCCACTTGGAGAGTTACAGAGAGTGAGCACCACCTCTGGCACTATTACTCCACTCAGTTTCTAGTGGAAAATATTTCATAACATCCAGCCCAGAATGACATTTGTTGAAGGTGTGAAGGAAGACACAGACGGCTTTAAGGGTCGGGAGATAACAGGTGTAATGTAAGACACAGACAACTCTTGAAGTACTGAGACTAAGGTTGTCTCAAGTAAGACTCCAGATGGAAAGCTTGATCCAGAGAACAGCTGTGTTACGGTAAAGTGAGATAGCGTAGAATTTTATTCTAAGATTAGCAGTAAATAACAGCAGTAGGCTGGTAGACACCAGCCATCCACGGAGGTACTACAGCTCTTTTATACAAGCATATAACAGAGGAGAACTGCGGGTGAGTGCGAGTAGGCCTGCCTAGCAGGCAGGCCTACTCGCACTCACCCACTCTCAGGCATGTCTCATCTCACATAACTGTCAAACCGGTTTGCACTCTGGTAGGATGGCTGGTATTTTCTTAATATTTCATAAAGATATAAAATGGCAGATAAATCTTACAACCTCTAGTAACATTCAGAATAATCTTATATTTTCTTACCGTGTTTCTTTCACGTGTTTCTTAATATCCGTTGGGGCGACGGTTGCCGGAACTTCTCATTAACATCTAAGACACGACATCCGTGACAAGAGAAACTGGTGTGACAGTTTTGTGTGTACAAATATGACGAAGACTGTACAATATGCAGCCTTCAATGGAAGACGGGTTCCCTGATACTAGTGAAGAGATCTTATTCAAGGCATTAGAGCTACTCTCACCCTCAGAACAAACCTGATTACTTGCCATCCCTCCAGGTTCGATCACAGGGCTAAGGCAAAACGAAGCCCTGAGAATTATTCTTGGCTGGCCTAAAACTATCAAGGTCTTTAATAGCAGAAAGCAGCTTGGTATTGCTAATACCAGTGATAATTAAGATTAACACTACGCTGAGACATGAATCAGATATTGTAACCATAATTGGTGTTTAATGTCTAGAAATAAACACAAATATAAATGGATTGTGAAAACATAACCTTTTACAACATTCATGAACTGTATCGTTCCTCCTGTACCATTCCTCTTGTATCACTGTATCACCCCTCCTGTATCACAAATTATATACACTTATAGATGTAAACAAGAGTACTAGCAGGGCTGCATCTGCTCTTGTTAACACTTTGCTAGATAATAACTACAGCAACCATTTTGAGTCTGGCATAATAATTAACAACTGGGCTTCTACATTAGTAACTGAATTATCTTCCGTCCTAAAGTTAACTTATGACCCTGATCATGACTCCTTAATCATTACTGACTACGTCTTCACTGATACTTTTCATGGCGGTCCACTGGCCACATATCAATCACAGCCTGGTTGATCCGGCATTTGACTGAGGTACTTGTCGAGTTTTTCCTTGAAGACTTCAACACTTGTTCATAAGTGTTTCTGCTATCTTCTAGTTAGATGTAAAATAGTCTGGGCCCACGGATGTTGATATAATGTTTTCTTATTGCGTCCACAGCGCCACTGTTTTTCACTGGGTTTATTTCACATTTTTTTCCATGTCTCTTACTCTGGTGTGTTATGGCAGTGCATATTTGGGATTAGTCCCTCAAGTACCGTCCACGTATATATTATCATATGTCTCTCTCTCTCTCCTTCGCTCCAGTGAGAACATATTTAGGATTCAGATGTTCGATGTAATTACTGAATATATTTATTTGGTTATGGAGCATACAATAAACTGGCCGCTTCGGCGGCAGAATCTGCTTAGTTAAGTACATCTGGAAAATACGTTTTGTAGGTGGCAAGTAAAAGAGGGTTAGTTAGGAAATGATCGGGGGATTTTACAGGTGATTTTGGGGAA